TAATCCACAAAATTTGGTATAAAGACAAAAACTTAGTTAATATCAAGATATGTTTCAAAAGATATGTTTTATCCATCTTCTTTTACATACAAAAGTGTCTACCTATTATAGCAGTGATGGTCCTACCATCTTTGATGGAAGACACTGTAGCAGATATAATCTCTAGAGACAGGTTTTCTGGGTTCAAAATTAGGTTCCCCTATTTACCAGATTCAGTTGACCTTGGGTAACTGACATAAATAACTTCATTAGGTCTCATTTTCTTAGCCTTAAAATGGAAATTACACCACCCACCCTCAAGAGATGATGTGTGTCGTTTAGCAGCCGTAGCTCTTAACCACTACGCCACCAGGGTTTCCATGTTACACAGTAATCTTTGATAAATGTTAGCTAATGCTATTGGAAAAATCTAGTTTTTCACCTTTTGAAAAAAAGTGTAAGACAATGTTTCATATACATAGGGTGACATATCACTGAAATAGCTTTCATATTTTCCTTCTTTACCTTCAAGTTTGGAAAGCAATGATGCTCAAGAAGGGGACGTGCGTTAATCGATCCCTACTATGTTTTGGGCATTGTGGTAAGAGCGCTCATACGTACTACATCACCGAATAAACTGTCACCCTGAGCAATGTCCAATTTAAAATCTCTGTCATAATACATCCAGCTTGCCTAAAATTACATTAAGTTTCAATGAGAATATTATCTAAAATAAAGAGAACTGGGTTAAAAACATTGAAATTCTAAGAAGTACAATATATGCAATAGATGTGTAGTGTGTGTTTGTTATTTTTTAAAACCACAAATGCCTCTAGCCATTGGCTACATCATAGAGAAGCAGACACAAAGGTCTTTGATAATTTTTCCTGACTTTCTTCATGTTGAGCTAATTAGTTAACCTCTTATGGAGTAAGAATTGAAGGAAAAGCATTAAAATACATTAAATCAATTTACCAGAGTTTTCCCCCTATTCACTATTGTTGTGTGACATCGAGTTGATTCTGACTCATAGCAAACCAATATAACAGAGTAGAACTTCCCCGTAGGGTTTCCTAGGCTGTAATCTTTAGGGGAGCAGAACATCAGGTCTTTTCTCCCATGGAGCCACTGGTGGGTTCTGATGTTTCACTTAGCAGCTGAGTATTTAACCATTGCATTATCAAACCAAACAAAACCTAAACTTATTGCCGTAGAGTCAATTCTGACTCAGAGCAACCCTATAGGACAGAGTAGAACTAACCCATACAGTTTCCAAGGAGCAGGTGGTGGATTCGAACTGCAGCTGAGCTCTTAACCATTGCGCCACCAGGGTTCCTTTATTCACTATTAGCTCTTAGTATTTCATTAGGGTTTTGAAACTTATATAAGATGTGCATCTAACCTTCTCAAACAATACTTGGTAAACTTAGTCTAGAGAACAGATGTCAACTGCAGTGTGCACATGAAGCATATTAGGAGTTTATCATGCAGAAACCCAGGCCCCACTGACAATGATTCTGATTCTATAGGTCTCAGGCGAGCTAAGGAAAGTGCATATTCAACAAGATCCCATGTGATTCAGAAACAGATGATGTCTAGACTCCACTATGAGTGGCACCAGACTAGATGAAACAAATATTTACTCCAACCACACAATTAATCTCAAAAGGTGTATATTATTTCTATATGATAGGATGTTCATCCTCAAGTTAAATTCCAAAATAAACTGACATTAAAACATAGTTCACGTTAGTACCTTGCCTTTAAAACCATTTGGTATAAGTTTGTACACATAAGAGTGTAACACTGCTTTCTATCCAGTAGCAGCGTGTGTACGTAAGCCTGTATATCACCCTGCCATAGTGGTTCCTTCTCTTTAAATCTGGCTCTCATTCTTCATAACTTTACGATCTGAACTACCTCAAGAGACAACCTGATGGGAATAGGGTATTTCAAACTGATTACACCCTGCTTCCTTCCAGACCAGACCCTTCTCTTTTAAGTTTTAAAACAGAATAATAAAAATTCATTTACTATGCATGTCAATCTAGCAAATATGTATTCAGTGCCTACTATGTTCCAGGCACAGCCTGGATAACTGGGATGAACTACACATACACAAAATTTACCATCAGGTCAGAAATATTGTTAAATGGAATGTTTGCACTGAATGGTCTAAATTAGAAAAGAAAACACACACACAACATAAAAAATCACATTATAAGAAAAACATTAAAAGAGGATTAGCAATTTTCTCACATTCTAAATTTATTGAAAGTGAAGAATGGTATAAAATTTAGCTAGAAGAATGCTCTTTGCAATATTGCTTATAACAATCCATGTTTATAAGAGGGGATTAGTTATATTTCCAAATGGAATTTCTATGTAGTGATTACAAATGTTTTTGATGAAAAACATAGATTACAGGCTTCTAGTTAAAGAGTGAACACATGTTTTCAATTCTACCCCTTCCTGAAATCCCACTACTACAATAAGAGGAATAGAGGCAAGGGGAAAAAAAAAAAGAACCTACAATATAAAAGAGATCTTGAGAGAAGACACTAGCAATAAAATCCTGGAAAGCGGGACAAGCTGTAACTGATTTTACAAAAGCCCAGAAAGGTGACTCCTAAGCCAAAGGGAGAGAGAAGCCAAGAAGCAAACAATGTTACCATTCAACCCCCTAAAAGCTCCCAAGTGGCAACACAGGGCACTTGGAGAAGTGAGAGCAAAGAGGGTATTAAAAACGAAGGAGTCTGAAAACG